CATTGACAACAATAAATGCTTATTACTTTAAGTTATTGCATTTTGGGGTGATATGTTACACAGCCATGCCTGACCAACACATTTCTATTAGGACAGACCTTCACCTCTTCCTCTACCACTTACTACTTGCATAAACGTGGTCAACTTAGTTAATACCTCTGAACCTTAAGATACTTCATCTGTAAAATGAGTATTGTAATGAATTGTTTTGAAGATTAGATGAGTAACTGAAATGAAAGAACTTAACAGTGTCCAGCAGACAGTAAGTACTCAATGAATTCTTGCTACAGTAATAACAATAATTTTTTAAAAAAATCACCACATGCTCTTTTTGCCACAACACATTTTCTTGTAGCTGAATATTCTGTGATTTTAGAAATGGAAGGGTCTGGACATTCTAAAGATTTGTCCTTCCAGGTTGGAATATGAGCTCTCTCTTTTTTTTTTAACCAGACATTTCAAAGTTACATGATATAGCTGAGCTATTTGTTTTCATTGATTGAGAAAAACACAATGGAAAATGCAGAATTGTAAATTCTCAATCACTTTTACAAGTGGATTTGTATTTTGGGAAATTACAATAGCATTGCCAATACATTGAAAAGCTAGTGGTACATGAGAAACGAGATGATGTATTTAGTTGACAGACACTATTTTGTATATATACCAAATCATGGGATCTTTATACTAATTTATACTAATTTCTATCTTGTGAGTCCATCAACTTTCGCCACCACTGGGGACTGTGGCCAGGTTGTCAGAGATTGGAAACTACTGATCAAGGGCAACAGTGGCCTGTAATACAAGGCCCTGGGTGGCCTTCAGGTTGCTTACTTTTGATCCTTCTTAGGTCTCTGTATTCATTTCTATATTCATTCATGTCTCCCACTTACCATCTTGTTCCATCCGCGCTAGCCTTCTGGCTATTTCTCAACCACCCAAAATTAGTTCTTTGCTTTGCTGTCCCCTTGCCTGGGAAGCTTGTTTTCCAAGTCTTTAGAAAGACAGCTCATCCTTTTATACAGACTGATGCTCAAATATCATCTCCCTAAAGAGGCCTTACTTCCAAGCTAAGTACGGAGACCTCCTTCCCCTCGTTCTTCTGTTTCCTCTGGTTTTGCCTCCTTCGTGCACTTCTCCAGTATTATTTCAGTGGTGTATCTTCTCTGTCTTTTTCTTGATGATTTCACCCTGCTACACAATAAGCCAGGAGAAAAGTCAAGCACCGTTTAATGCCTGACATGTAGTGGTGCTTAGTAGATTTTAATTTAATAGCTTAATCTTGTTTTACAGATGAGGACCCTGAGGTCCAGAGAGGAAGAAGACAAAGTTATATCACCTGAGAGTGATTAAAATTGAGGCTTCTAAATCTCTCGGTAATGCCTGCTCATACTGTCACCCAGCCTCATTCAACCTGAATTAGTAAGGATTCAGTGTAGATGCAAGACAAGTAATAGTTCCAATGATTTAAATGTAGTAGAAAAATACTGTTCTTTCATAAAGAATTTTGAAGGTAAGCAGTTGTTCTGGGTAACCCTGAGATACCCAGATATCCGTATCACAAAATGTCTACATTTTGTGGCTTAAAAGAATTTTTTTCCCATGATTCTGAGGTTGTCCAGGCTCAGCTGGACAGTGTTCCTGCTCCATCATGTCAGCTGGGGCTTCAGCCACTGAATACAGAGTTGGAAGGAGATGTGCAATAATACCATGTATTATTTTCACCATGCAAGTAACCTCGAGAGCAAGGGTAAAACGTAGGAAAAGCATTAGAAAGTGATCTTTGAGTGTTTGTTTTCTTAAGTTATATATATACGTGTGTGTGTATTATATAAAACACACATATATTATTGTAAAATACACATTAAAAATGTACTTTAGCCATTTTTAAGTCTATAATTCAGTGGCATTAAGTACATTTACAATTGCATAACCATCACCACTATTTCCAGAACTTTTTCATCATCTCAGACAGAAACTCTGTCCCCATCAACTAGTAACTCCCATCCCCCCCTCCGTCCCCCAGTCCCTGGGAACCTCCGTTCTTTCTTGCTCTGTGAATGTACCTATTCTAGGCACCTCCTAAAAGTGGAATCATGTAATATTTCTCCTTTTGTGTCTAGTTTATTTCATGTAGCTCATCCTTTGTGTTTGATATCATTTATTTAATTGTAAGTTTGCAGAATTTAATTTTTTCAAAGGCTGTGTTTAACAACCAGCTTGTGAGTTTCCTGAGAATGTTAACCATCCGCTCTCATGCTCCAGTAGAGACTGGCTGCCCCACAGCCCTGGGCCAGCCCGCGGTCCAGCTGCCACGGACCCAGAACTCCAGCGCAGGACGCGCAACCCTACAACCCTGCTCTTCGTCACTGGCCCCAGAGGACGTCCTGACCCCATTCTGTCTCATCTTCAGTGACTTCATCACAAACCATGGATGGCAGAACCCACGTATCCCAACTCTCCTTTAGAATGTGGCTGAAGAACACGTGGGAATACTGAGGGTGCTGCATGTAGCAAGGCCAACCCTCACCGACTCACATTAGGCCAAATACATACTAACTCCCCAAAGCCATTATGCATTTTTAAGGGAAGAAGATTGAGAAATTGAGAAAATGACTCGTTCTTGAAATTGCAATGTCACATAAGATTTTTCATCACTTAGAAATTGAAGTTTCTCACCAGGAAACTCTTCGCTCATCAGTCATTCACTTAAACCTAACTAGTCTGGGGGAGAAGTCTTTTAATACACACAGACTGTGCATCCACCCTAGTGTTATAAATCTTTGAACAGAAGATGAGGACACAACTCACACATTACACTTTAATTTTTTCCCCCCATTTTCTTTGCAAAGGTTCAGCCACTTTCCTCATAGGAACACACCTTCATAGTGAAATGACTCAGTTAGTGACTGTGACAATGAGATTAGGAGGGATGGACAACCTGTAAGACAGCAAAGGACGGATGACACCCTGCACAGGGGCTGGAACTCAAGACTGGGCACCCACTCAGCACAGATCTTCAAATCGGTGGGGGATTCTTATCCGTGGACTCCAGGCAGGTTTCCCAGCCCCTCTGAGCTTCTCTTCGGTCATCGTCCCAAGGTCATCTGGGGTAAGTGGCGGCCACGCCAACCTCTCACCGGTTTTCCCTCTGCCCCAGCCACACATGCTCCTTGCTGGTCCTTAACACAACCACACGCTCCTGCCACGGGGCCTTTGCCCTCAAGGTGCCCTTGGTGGACACTCTTGCCCCAGATACACGTGAAGCTCATTCTCTCACTTCATTCAGTCTTGGTTGAGATGCCACCTCTTCACCCAGGAATTTCTTGACCACTTCGTCTGAGAGAGCACCTCTCTCCACCAAAATCACTCTCTCCCCCTTTCCTGCTCTATTTTCTCCATAGTAATTTTCTCTGTGATGGGCCAGGATGTAGTTGTTTTGTTTTTAACAGACTTATTGAGATATAACTCACATACCATATAATTCATCCATTTAAAGTGTACAATTTAATGGTTTTTAGTATATTCATAGCTTTGTGCAACCATCACCACAGTCAATTTTAGAACATTCTCATCATCTCAAAAAGAAACCCAGTACCCTTTAGGTATCATTCCTTATTACCCCCTTTCTCAGCCCTAAGCAACCGCTCGTCTACTTTTTGTCTTAGACTTGCCTATTATGGACGTTTCCTATACATAGAATCATGTAATATGTGGTCTTTTGTGACTGGCTTCTTTCACTTAGAATGGTGTTTTCAAGGTCCACCCACGGCGTAGCGTGTGCTGGTACTTCACTCCTTTGTACAGCCTAATAAAACTCGATTGCACGCTCCCACTTAATTCTCACAACTGCAAACAAATCTATGAACTCACATCAAGGCCACAGAGACAAGGAGGTCAGCACACGATAACCAAGGCCACTTTCGAGCGCTCCACTCCCCCATCATCCACTGCTGGGACAGGGCGGCCTTAAAGCGGGGAGACGTGAACGCCTGCAAGCGCGTTGGCACGGACGGGCTCCTCTTGCTCATTTCTTAGTCCAGCTGCGAGGATCTTCAACCTTGCACGCGTATAAAAAGGTGCCCAGAGCTGCACATGCCAGGCCCTACGCACACCACAGGAGACCTAGGCAAGTGATTTTCAAGCGTAACTTGGCTAATGTGATTTTAGGTTAATCTTGACTCCTCAAAAGTATCTTCCACCCCACATCCTGCCTCCAAAATGATGCCTCTTCACTGTCCCTCCAGAAATGCGCTGGTGCTGGAGATTGAACCCAGGACCTCATGCACGCTAAGTACGAACTATATCCCTCCTACCAAGTCTTTCATTTGTAAGCGATACGGCACCTGCCGGTCACACTGATAAGTGAACTGGCAAGTCTCACGTGATGCACACACAGGTACCAGCAGACCCTCCCGGCACTTTCCCAAAGAATTACAGAGGAGCGGCCACAAGAACGGATACCACTCCCTGAACTCAGAAGGCCCTTTTGCTGTGTAGGATGTGTTCATTTCTTTCAAAAAGTCCTGCTAGCTCGTGCCCTGTGCTGGGCACTGTTCAAGGCATAGGGGAAGTGCAGTCAGTGATTCAAAGCAGGTATATGCTTCAGGGAGTTTACAGACTGATGGAGAAACCGGGCAAGAAACAACTAAATGTGATTTATAATATAGTATCCAGTGGTGACCAACACTGTGAGGGGCAGAACACAGGGTGTAAAGGAACAGGGGGTGATAGGAGGAATACGCTATTTCAGCTGGTGGGACCAGGGAAGATCTCGCTGCAGAGATGTCATCGGTGCTAAGGCTGTGATGAGGACGTCTACAGCAAGTGCAAAGGCCCGGAGGAGGAACGAGAGTGGTGTGCAAGGACCAGCGTGCAGGCCAGTGCTTGCAGCAAAGGGGTCAAAGGGAGGCAGGAGACACGAAGGATCAAGTTGGAGAGGACCCAAGGGCCAGACTGTGTAGGACATCGTAAGCCATGATAAGGACTTTGGGTTTTATTTTAGGTTTTATTTGGATGGAAGTCACTGGAGGGGTGATTATATGGTACTTCCCTTAATCCTTACGGAAAATATTATCTTACTTAATCCTTATAATAATACTGTGGGGGTAAACATTGTTATCCTCACTGGGATGTCAGAAAAGTGAGGCTCAGAGAGAGAAAAATAACACGTTCAGGGTCACACACATGGTAAACAGTAGAGTTAGGATTTGATTCCAGATAGCATGACCAACCAGCCCAGTTTTGCACTGAAAATCCTGCATCTTGGACAAGCTCGCAGTCCGAGGCAGAGCGCAATGGTTGGTCACTCTAATTTCAGGTTTCTTTGCCTCCAAATCCCATTTGCAGTAATAATTTCAGAACCCTGGAAGAAAAGGACCCGAATTTCAGGGGCTGTAAGCTTCCTTTCTGAATTCTGCCAAGGAGGGGAAAATACATTATATTAACTGTCTCCTCAAAAGAATCTCATCAGGAGCTTGGCCACTCAGAGAGAAGGGGGCTCCGTCTCTATAGTGACCATCTGATGTATCACACCAACTGGGATGCTCTTAAGAGTGAAAGGGATGTTATTAACAGGCACATGGAAACTGCAAGCATTAGCCAGGGCAGTGCCAGGCAGGTCGGGCCGGAAAATCACCCAATCTTTATCTGACTGCAGAATCTGTAGGGTGGATCTCCTTGGCAAGGCTCCAGCCCTTGTGTGTGTTTCTCTTTGGCCTTTAAGCTCCAGAAACTCTGACCAAACTGTTTTTCTGATAAAAAGCTCAAAGTCCTTTAGGAATCAGTTGAGACACATGGGCCTTGGTTCTGTCCCATGTTACAGTTTTCAAGCTTCAATGGTCATAAGGATAAGATCTCTTCCTTAAGTCACCATGGATGCAGTTTGATTCTTTTGAAAGCCCTGGAGTTTCCCAGGTCAAAAAGAACAGGCAGAAGTAAACCAGAAATAGTAGCTACTATTTTCTGAGCGTCAGTTACATGTCAGGCGCTGTTCTACATCATTTAAGCATCGGAACGTTTCTTGGAGGTGGCTGCCAGTAGCCCCATTTTACAGATGAAGGCTCTTAGGCTCAGAGTAATTAAGGAACACACCCAAGGTCACACAGCCTGTAAGAGGTAGGCATAAGAATCTGAATTTGGAAAGGATCTGACAGCAAATCCTGGCTTTTCATCTGCAGGCCTCTTTCTTGTGTGGATATCTTTGCTCTATATCCCCTGCAACCCTTGGGCTAATTGGTGTCTCCACAGGAATCCTTAACCCAGTGTCCGTGGGTCTTCCCAAGTGATACTTGGATAAAATTCAGGATAAACAAACAAACACATAAACACTAACCCGAGTGTTGTTACTATTTTTTCTCATTTTGAAAATGAGTAAAAATGAGCAGTCCTTGAAACTTTGTCAGCAATGGAAACCAGACACTTTCATATCACATCAGATAATCTGAAATATCTCTTATGGTTATTGCCACTTCAAAATTAAGTTGTTAGCAGACTTCCCATTGGATTTTGTCATTTAGTGAGTTAATAAAAAAAGTACATCTATTATAGTATTATACATCTGTTTAAATTTTTTTCAGTAACTGTATTTTAAGATAATTGGTTTTCTTTGCAAGCCTATGCATTTTTTTTGTACATTTAAAAACAATTCTGAGAAAGGCATCACAGGCTTCCCCAGACCCCAACAGGGTCCATGACATAAAAGCCATAAAAGCAAAGAGCTGGAAAGTGGGCATTTGTTTAATAAATGATTCACTCTTTGGGCACAAAATTTTACATAATTTCTTTACAGTGTTACCAACACTTGCACATTTAAGAGGTAGGGAGACTCTTAATGGAAATATCTCATTCATTCATGCATTCCTTAAAGAAACAACGGACACCTACTGTGTACCAAGCCCTGCGAGCGCATGAGAGACGGGACAGACCAGAACTCTGCTTTCACAGAGAGCTGACCTTGTAAAGGGTCAAGACAACAATAAAACAATCATCACACGTATAATTAGGTAACACAAGGGTGATAGGGCCTGGGGTGGGGTGTACTGAGAATTCTCTGAACAAAGACTACTTGGCTGAGATCTGAGGGGTGGGCAGGCATGAAATGGGCAAAGAGGAGGGTGAAAAGTGAGCTGGAGGTGACTTACACAGGCTCACTAGAGCTGACAGATCCACTTTCAGGGATTTTGTGATCTGGCTGTTAAACACAGCCATTATCCAAACTTAAGCTATAAAACTTAACAATTAAATGAATTATAGTTAAAACAAAGAAAAGAAATACCTCTAGCACTGCTCTAGAAGTTATACCCCGCGCGGCCCACTGCATTCCTACGTCACTCAGCGATGGCAGCGGTTAACGCTACTCATTTCAAATGTCCCCTTTCCACCGAGAACCCCCTGAAACCCACCCCACTCCCATCACTTCCTGTTTCACTCTCCGGCTTACCTTACTTTCCCCCATAATTTTCATCACCTTCTAACGTGCTGTATAACTGGATTATTCATTTCCTGTCTCTACCACTCTAAGGTTAAAATCCATGAGGGTGAGGATTTTTTTTTTCCCTGTTACCTTCCTTGTCTGGTCGCTAGTTCTAAAATGGTCCTGGTCTAGAGGAATCTAACACAAATATTTATTGGACAAATGGATGATGGGATCTGAACGCTTGTTTCGAGTTGACTGACAATTTCAGAGTCTTGTTTCCTTAACCCCTGTCCCTTCCTGGCTGACTTGAATTTGAATCCCAAATCTTCATCACCAAAAAACTAAAGATACAGATCCAAAATGCTTTACAGAATTTTGAAGGGAAAAAAAAAGTCAGAAATGTGACCAAATGGCTCCTAATGTCAACTGCTCTTGACATCAGTTGTGCAGGTCCTTAGTTGGAAGGACAGGAAGGACAGGAGTCCGAGGACAGCCTGCCGGGGTTCAAATCCCCTCCATGCTGTTGGCTTTGCAACCTGGGGGAGTGAATTAACCTCCTCCAGCCTCAGTCTGCTCATATGCCAAATGGGGAAAATGATATTATAGTCAACCACTCCAAGAAGCCACCGAAATGCAATATTATGAGCCAGGAAGAAAGAAAAAAAATTGTTCCGAATTATAAAACAACCCACTGACTCTAAGACTTATACGAATTTTAGAAATGTTTTAAGTAGCATTGCCACATAAAATACAGGACGTCCAGTTAAATTTGAATTTCACATAAAAAATGAAGGATGTTTTAGGATCAGTTTATCTCATTTGGGGGTATCCGACTTGGGACATCTCTAGACTAAAAAATTATTCACTGTTTATCTAGATTTTAAATTTAATTGGGATGCTGCATTTTATTTGCTTACTCTGATAACTCTATTTATAAAGACCACAAATGTGTCTATGTCCTAGGCTCAGTGGAACATGGTAGTGTATGTCGCATTAGAAGGTGTGGGTTGAATGGGTTAATGTAGGAAAAATGTTAGAGCAACACCTGGCACATAGTAGGCCCTCCGTAAATGTTAGGCGTCATTATAAGATACCTCCTACCAGTTCAACAGACTCGTTTCCACTCACCTGTAGGTCCTGGAGGCTCCCTGTTCCATCCCCAGGCCTTGGCGCAGGTCTTCTTACCCTGAAAGAATCCAATGTATTTATTCAGTGAAGGGAGACTTTTTTTTCTCAATGAATGGGGAAAAAAAAACAAGTTAAAAAAATTTAATGAATGGAGAGCTTTCTCTTTGTTTTTCACCTCTTTTTTGTACTGATTCATCCATGGTCTCAATCCTTTGAATGCCTTGAGGGTGGGGCGGGGAGTGCAGTCTGTTTCAAATCTTCTCTGAAGTCTGGAAAGAGAATACTTTTCGATGCGCCCCTGCACTGAGTCCCTCTCCTCAAGGATATCTCCTCTTCTCCAGGAGCCTTCCAGCAGCTCCCTCTGAGAGCTCCGGTGTCTGCTGCCAGGTACACCCCCATCCAACTGGTGAAACTGCTTAATTAGCCTAACTGCAGGCAGCCTGCGAAGGGGTATTAACCCTGTTAATATGCAGGCTCCCAGAGTCCTCTGTGGCCAGAACATACTACAGTTTGTCCAGAGTCTCTTTCAAAACAACAACAGGGGGAGGGTATAGCTCAGTGGTAGAGCACACGCTTAGTATGCACAAGGTCCTGGGTTCAATCCCCAGTACCTCCATTAAATAACAAGTAAGTAATTAAACCTAACTACCTCCACCCCCAAGGAAAAAAACTAAAAATTAAAAACTAATTTAAAAATAAATAAGCAAAACTTAAAAAAAATTCCTGGGAAATAAAAACAGAATCTAGGTAATAAAGTCTAACCTTCTTTTTCCTTTTCCTTGGCGCTTGGTTCCGTCTCACTCGCTCGCCGGCGGCCGCTGCAGACAACCTGCACCTGGCACTTCAGACTGGCGTTCCTAGCGCCAAACGGCCGTGCACGACACTTCCGCCGAGAGGGCCGTGTGCAGAAGCACCGTTTACGACACTTGGACACCCAGCGCTGTGAGCAGGACAACTGCGCCTGCTCCGGAGAGCTCCGCCCCAGCGAGCTCCGCCCCAGCCCCGCTAACCCTATAAATTTGCCTGCGGGGGGGCTACATGTGTTCTAGATTGAGAATTTGGGCTTGTTCTTTCATCAAAGAATGAAGCTTTCCTTTGCTTCTGGACCAAACTCGATCTTGCTCACTTGGCTCGAAGGATACCAGGCGGGAGGGCTCTTGATGGGGCCTGACTCAAAAGGTGGGTGACTGATGGTTTTCCATTGGTCACTATTACAGTGCAGTTTGGCATTTAAAAATACCTGTTTACCAAATGGAATGGTGCCTGGGGGAAGGCCTCGTGAATATTCACGTGCTTTTGTTTTTGTTTTTTTTTTCTATTTTCATTATCATTATTGGCTCATTCGATCTGTTGCTCTCTTGGCCCTGACCCCATGGGAAGTGTTTTGAGGGCAAATATACTCCCTAATTCCTTCCTTGAGGTCCCCCAACCGCAGTAAGACACTGAGCATAAGGTGGGCACTCCGTGGAGGAGGACAGGTGCAATACCCCCATGGCTAGTAGCTGATTGCTATAGCTTCTTTTTTTTTTTTTAATTAAAAAAATTTTTTAAATTGAAGTACAGTCAGTTTACAATGTGTCAGTTTCTGGGATACAGCATAATGTTTCAGTCATATACTTACATATATATCCTTATCATATTCTTTTTCATTATAGATTACTACAAGGTATTGAATATAGTTCACTGTGCTATAGAGAAGATACTTGTTCTAGCATCTTAAAAACATCGCACAGTGTGTAGTTTTTTTTAAATTAAGAAGTAGGTCATTGAGATAACTATATTTATATTATTTAAACATTTTATTATGCATACATACATTTGATAATGTGTATATATCATAAATGTATAGCTCGATGGATTTTCACACCTGAATAAGCCCGAGTAAAGAACAACCAGATGCAGACATAGAATATTCTAGCATCCTAGAAACCTCTCTTGTACTCCCTGACACTCTGTACATTGGTTTCTATTTGGCTTTGTTTTGTTCTGTTTCGCTTTGTGGTCCTTGTAGTTGCTTTTCTTTTTTTTTTTTCCTTTTCTTTTTCCGATTCAACTTTAGCAAATATAATCTTACCTATCGCCTTCGGAGAGCAAGCCCTCCTCGTTGTCACTTGCTGGTTCAGGGCACCCTGGGCCCATCAGGGGGGCTGCTGATGCAAGAAGGCAAAATTTTAACAATAACAAAAAATTAACTCATTTACAAGAGCTGATGAGATGCAGTTGGAGGCTAAGAACATCTACAGGAATGTTGTCCTTCTAACCTCTTAGTGCAGACCTCCGTGGGAGAAAATTTATATTTGGCCTTATATGGTTCTGAATTTAGTAGTCAATCATACATTCATTTCATTTTCATTCATGCATTTCATCCAACACGTATTTTGACTGATTGCTTCCTACAGGTATTAGACCATTTTGCATGCTGGAGAGCGAGCAGGAGTCAAAATCAATAAAGCCCCTGCCCCCAGGCACAGACCAGCAAATGGATAAGAAACGCGTATTGCATGTCAAAAGGATGCGGTGCTACCTAGAACAATGAGGTGGGGTGAGGGGAGAGGGAACGCCAGCAAGTGGCTCTGTTTTCTGCAGGCAGTCAGAGGAGGCTCTCATACAAGGAAGACCTTTAGAAGACAGTGTGGGGCCACACTGGGGAAGAGCATTCCAGGAAGAGAACCCAGCAAGGCACAGGCTCTGAGGCTAGAGCTCCTGGACGTAATGGTTGGAGCCTGGGCTTGAGGTTAGTTTTGTTTTTTGTTTTGTGTGTACGTGTGTGTGTTTTTTATTGGGTCTAATTAATGGCTGGGATTTCTCCTTCTCCGGAGAGGGGGAGGGTGAAATATGACATCGGGATGTTCTAGGCATGCCTTCAGTGTGAAAGCACAAAGGGAAAAAACTATGCTTCGTTTTGGGGGCCCAAGTATATTTCACTGCATGGGTGGAGAGGCGTATGGTGGCGGTGGGGAGGGTGGGGTTCTTAGAGTTGTTGTGGAGATTTTGTTCGCTCTGAGGAAAATAGGGAGCCATGGGAGGCTTGGGAGCATCACATTTACATGACCTGGACTAGATTACAAAGATCAGTCTGACTGCTATTGAGATATTTATAGGGGGTAAGAATGGAATCAGGAAAACCATTTTGGAGGCCAGTACAACAATCCAGAGGAGAAAAGATATATGTCTTTTTGGTTCTTTTTCCCCAGCTATTTATTATTGTTTAACAAACCACCCCAAAATTTGTGGCTTAAAACATCAGTAGTTTATTATTTCTCATGGTTCTGGGGGCTGCCTGGCAGTTCTTTTGCTTCACAAGTATCAGCTGGGTCCTGTTTTCCTCCATCTTTGCCTGCCTAGCAATTTTTCTTTTTGCTGTTTGCCAATATGCATTTGACCTTGTTGAGTGTGGGTGTTTTTATGTTGTTTCCATGAATATTCTCAAGCTTTGTTCTGGGATGCAGTTAAACGACCCGGAAATAGTTTGATCCTTTCAGGTCTTGCTTTTAAGATCTGTTAGGCAGGATCAGAGCAGCAGTTAGCATCCGGGGCTAATTATTCCCTACTACTGAAGCAAGACCCTTCTGAGTGTTCTGCCCATTGCTGGGGAATTAGGAGGTCGTCCAGTCTGGCTCTGTGAGCCCCAGTATGGTTCCCTCTAATCTAGTGGTGGTTCTCTCCGAAGCCTCGTGACGTTTCTCCTGGTGGGTGTGCTGACCAGCAGTCAGCTGAGGACCTCAGGTGGGTCCTTGGCAGATCTCTGGAGTTCTCTCTCTCTGGCCCCCTCTTCTCTCTGGTACCCAGCCTGCTGAACCCTAATTGCCTCAGCCTCCAAACCTCTCAGCTCCATCTCTTCAACTCAGAGAGCCCACCCTGCTCCTCCTGGGTTCTCTCTCCCCAAACATGTTGACTTTGAGATGCCTCTTAACCATCCCAGTGGAGATTCCTTGAAATGTTGTCTAGAAGAGGTCCCTTACAACGCCCCGTACTTCTCTTGTTTGAGATGAGTCAGAGAGACTCAGGTGGGTCTCCTCTGGAACGGAACGTTTCCTGTCAAGTGATGGCCTTCATACTTCAGATCTGACTTTGGGCTCACACTGGCAACTGTGACTCCTTAAATTATTTCAAGTACTAGGTCGATGAGCTTCAAACCTTAGCTTTGTGTCTTCCCTGTTCGGTAAAGGAAAACAATACATTGGTGATTCTGGTTATCCCTTACTTTAAATGCACGTGGAAGAGACTTTACTTCTGACTAACGGACTGCAGTGCTATCTGTTAGCAGTAGTAGCCGAAGTACTGCCATTGGTGAGTGATATGCTCTTAAAAACATTGGTTAGAAATTATTTACGATAGTCTTATAATAATATTACTCTCACTTGCCGCCTTCTGCAATAGCCAAGACTCTTACTTGCAAATCACAGAAGTCCACCTCAAACTAGCTTAAGCAAAACTCCTAAGAGAAATCCCTTTATAAAGAATTTATAGGCTCACATAGTTCAAAAGCTTAAGAGGTAGGGAGGCAGGACCTGATTCAATAAAGTCTTTAGATCTCTGTCTCTGTCTCTGTCTCTGTCTCTGTCTCTCTCTCTCTTTTCTTTCTCTCTCCCTCTTGGTTCTGCCTGCCTTGTCCTCTCCATTCTCAGTCTAGTGGGACTAAGATTTTGTTGGCCTTAAGCTTTTGATCTGAGAGAAATAGAGAACACTTTCCTCGTTGTCGTTGGGAAAAGTCCTGTGGGCAAGGAGATCCCAGCTGGCCAGGACTGGGTCCTGTGCCTGTCTTTGGTGTGGGATCAGAGGACAGGCCCCCAGGATGATGGGACTGGAGCAGGAGTCCTGTGCAGCAAGGTTCCTCACCCCCGGCCGCATTGATATTCTGGGCTCTGTCATTCCTTGCTGTGGGGCCGCCTGTGTGTCACTACGTTTAACAGTACCCTCGGCCTCGATCCACTAGATGCCAGTACTAACCCCTACCCACCCGCCCATTGTGACAACCAGAAGTACCCCCAGCTGTTGCTAGATGTCCCCCTGGCAGGCAAAATCACCCCCACATCTATGCAGTGAGAGTAGTTTTCTGCAGGAAGAGATGCTGGCTGGGAAAATAGGCCTGAGACCCGTTCCAGGGTGTTTTCTGAACAGAACAGAAGGAGGTGGGCCGGTTGTTGGCATCTGATACTGTGCTGTGAACCACTGCAGTGCTTACAAGTTAGTGCAGTGCTCTGATTCTTACAAAATAATTTTGTGTCCAGGTTCAGAAAAATTGCGGGATACCTATGAAAATGTGAGCAATGCAGGAATGTTATAGCATAAACAGAAAAAAACCCCTCTGGTGTCATGATAAGGAATGTAAACTAAGACTAAAATACCAAGGTCCGTTCTGGCTCAGCCTAGTGTTAGGTGCGTGGTCTTCCTTAAATGATTCAGCCTCCTTTAATCCTTGGCTTTCTTCAATATAAAAGATGATTAATGGTACCAGACAAAACAATTAATAATAGATGTGAAAGTCCCGGATAAACTCTAAATGGCGTGAAAACTAGAGGTATTACTTAAACATACTCTTGTATTAATTGAACATGGTAGCTACTGGAGTGACTTCTGAGTTTTTAGACTAGTCCACCCAGATGTTGTCTCTGGGTTGTGTATTCTGTAGCTGTGAATCATTGTATATATTTTTTAAATTTATGTATTTAGTGGGAGGAGGTAATTAGATTTATTTGTTATTTTTTTTTTTAATGGAGATACTGGGGATCAAACTCAGGACCTTGTGCATGCTAAGTATGCGCTCTACCACTTGAGCTACACCTTCCCCCACATTGTATTGGTTTTCTTCTTGTCCTCTCTCTTCCTCCCTCCTTTCCTTCCTCCTCTCTTCGTTTTGGTTGACTGATGTAGAGATGTCAGTGTTGAGATGTCGAAGTTATAAGAAAGAGGATGATTACTTTTACTTTCTAGTATGTTCCAAGAGGCAGAAGAGTTGCTTACCTGGTTAATTACCAATCTCTTCTATTCCTGCTGTTTAAAAAGAAAAAAACAAAACAATAGGAAAGAAAAACATTCTCAGCTCACTGAGCTAACTGGTGGGTGAGAGTTCTAGGAACGATACTACCTTTATGAAGGCAGACAGTATGTCCCAACAGAACATGCTGTGTTACGTTTTCAGCTTTCTGGCTCTGTTCCACTTTGGTAATAACCCAACCGGTTAATTCAGTGGGATTGAAGCTTCCGGTCTTTGTCTGAGCAAATCAGAAATTGCCAGAAAATGTTTGAACAAATTGTGGAACCGAGTCGTAGTCAAGGGTAGACTATATCCCAGAAACAAACGAATGACCTAATCCCGTTTCAGATGCAGGGGCGAAGTGATTCATCTCTTAAAAGGGACTTATAGCCAGTGTTTACTTCCCAAGTGAAAAGAGAGAAAATTTGCTTCTTGATCTAAACCAGTTGTAGGAAAATTTCAGAGTGTCACCTTTTGGAGCAAACATGGTTTGACGTTTGGATTAGATTCACCATTTATTATGCAGGACTGTCTTTAGAGTTTTGGGTTAAGAATGCTGTGTTTGTTCCTTTTCTGTTTGTAGAGATAGGCTTTCCTGGGTGATTTCTCTTGTGATCACTATTAGTGGATGGTGTTTTCATATTCTTGCTTCAAATCTAGCAATTGCTGAAATGAACACACAGATTTTTCGGCCAGTCAAATAACTCCTAAAAGATGCTTTCTTCTCTGCAGGAAGCTTTGGAAACTTCCAGACAAAATGCAGCATCAAGTCAGAGACCACACTAATAATCATCACGATTTACATGTGAATAGTATGAACTACAGGAAATCAGAGCGAGAGACCACATGAGCCGTGCGCGCATGCGCACACACACACGCACACACGGAAGAAATTTTTATTATGTGCTTGGCTAGGAGTCTCTGAATGTTTATAGTCTGGGAACGGATACTGCGAAAGTCTTTCTGTTGTTAGGGAGGGCCCACGTTCCCACCCCACACCCTCATCTACAACCTTGGCTTTGGAGTCAGAACAGCACTCTTTCTCTACTTAATAGGACTAGGAGAGATGTGTTTTTTTCCTCTTGGCATATTTCTACAACTGGAAATCAAGGAAGCAAAGAGGCTGATTAATCGCTTTCTAGCTGAGCACGTTAATCTTTCTGGGCCCTTTGGGGTTTCCTTTTTTAGCAGAGGAGGTAATTAGATTTCTTTATGTATTTTTAAATTAACTTTTTATTTTATTTTTTAGTGGAGGTACTGGGGACTGAACCCAGGACCTTGTGCTTACTAAGCACACACTCTACCGATGAGCTATACACTTGTCCACCTTGGAGTTTCTTTTATCCTTATTCTTTTTGACTGGAGAGCTAATCATATATACCTGTGGGTTCTGCCGACACAGGAATCGTGGGCAAGTTAGAAATGAGATATACCAGTGTGTGGTGTGGGGAAAAGGAGGAGTTAATCTGTGTTTCCAAATCAGCCCTCAAACCCACGTGTTTGTCCATTCATGGCGCATAGATTTCCTTATTCCAACTGCTTTCAAGTTTTGAAGGGCCAACATACAGAAATACTAACATAAATCATTCTTCTTATTCAAGGGTAACTGGGAGCTCTGGCCACAACCTAATTTTTAAAAGTGTAACATATTATTGATTAGAACAAAATTAATGCGTCCCTAAATAATGTCTCAAATGCATGAGTCAGTCTCAGGAACTGACCATTAAGCCACTGGCCATGCGTCAATTTTTAAGAAT